ATGTTATCTAATGATAAACGTTTTGACAATTTAAACAAAGAGTACATTGATGATTAAATATTTGCTTGCTGAAATGTGGCATTTGTGGCATCTCATCTTTATATTCATAGTGTTTTTTTTCTTCAAAAGTATTAATTTTTATTCTGTCAGTAGGAAACACCTGTTAAGTTCAAAATTTTAACAACCCCATTACTTAATTATTTTCTCAACGATGTCAGATTGTGTATTGCACATCTGCTGTAACTCCTTCAGTGCTTCCCTTTAGTTGGGTGGTCCACCCAGAGGTATTTGTGTTTGCACAAGTATATTTGGCAATTTATTGTATTAATCTCAGAATGCCGTCATCCGTGATCAGTTAACTAGCAGGAAATTCCCTTGCTTTTATTTTGCGAGTTCAGTCAATGCTAGTTAAGTTGCCCCAGGCCTTCCCAGCTTATATTTTTCCTTTTGTATCACTCGTTAGCCAAGCCGTGTTTGATTGTGGCAGTCCAGAATATCAACTCACACCAGCTTCTCCCTTTAGAGAATCTCATCTTGAGGTCATATGAACTTCCAACTCTACTGTCTTGGACTGCAGCTGTGATTGCTCTTATTCTGCTCTACAGGTCAATGCCAAACTGAAAAACAGCTCGAATCAGATTCTGCAATCCATCAAGAAGAGACTTCTGTGTTGTTATGCCAAACTTACTTAGGCTGCAGTGTCACGCCTTGTAATCTAAGATTGCGTCCATAGGTTAAGAGTATTATTAGAGAGGTAGCTGATTATATTGCTCGTGTATTTGTTACAAAAAGCTTGGCAGATAAAATCTTTGATGAGAAGAAACTTAGAAATAGTCCTCCTTAATAATTACAAACAATAAACTGCCCCCACCCCCTCTTCACAACACCACTAACAGACTTTAAATCTGTGTGAAACACTGCATGGCTCACTTCAACATAACCTACTGCACCTGATCTATAGGAACAGCATAAGCTTTAATTCACACCTGTTCATAATAACAAATAATGACTGGTTATGCCTAAAGCTGAATGGTATTTTAATTTAATGTTGCAGCATACACTCAGTGGCCACTATTTTAGTTACACCTGTTCTATTGCTTGTTAACACTAATATCTAATTAGCCAATTACATGACAGGCATTCATTTAATTTATGATAGTAGACATGGTCAAGACAACTTGAGGCTCAAACCAAGCATTATAATTATGGTGATTTAAGCAACTGTGAACGTGGCAGAGTTGGACTGGTCTGAGTTTTTCAGAAATTAGTGATCAACTGGGATTTACACACACAGGCATCTTTAGGGTTTCCAGAGAATGGTCAGAAAAAGAACCAAAAAAAAAAAAAGAGCAAAAATGCTTGTTGATGTCAGGTCAGAGGAGAATGGCTAGACTGCTTCGAGATGATAGGAAGGCAAGAAAACTCAAATAAAGACTTGTTACAACCAAGAAATACAGAAGAGCATCTCTGAATGCACAAGATGTCTAAACTTAAAAGCAGACAGGCGGAAGCAGAAGACCAGACTAGGCCCCACTCCTGTTAGGCTAAGAACAGCAAACTGAGGCTGCAGTTTACACAGGCTGACCAAAATTAGACAACAGAGGATTGGAAAACACTGCCTATTCTCACCTTCTTGGCACACTTAAGACCTATTACTACCAACTGAAAATTGGTTAAATACCACAGCGTACTTAGTATTGTTTAAATGACCATATTCATCCCTCTATTACCACATCTTCCTCTCATCATCCTATGGCAGCTTCCGGCCACAAAACTGATCTGAAACTGGTTTCTTGAACATGACGACAAGTTCACTGCACTCAAATGACCTCCATGGTCACCATATCTCAGTCCGGTAGAGCTGTAGGATGTGGTGCAACGGATGCACAGCTGACAAATCTCAACATGGATGAAAATCACTAAGGACTGTTTTCAGCACCCTGTTGAATAACATAGAATTAAAACACCTCTGAAAACAAAACGAGATTCACACAAGTGCTAATAAATGTACCTAATAAAGTGTCCAGTGAGTGTAGTTTCCTTAGCTGTGTTCTTTAAATGAGGCTGTTATGTTTACTAACCCTTTCACTTTGGCCTCTGCTGAGCCAAACGTTTTCAGGAATGCATTTCTTTTTACAAGTTTCTAATAAGACCAGACAATGATAAGGGGGAAAAACTGAGTGCTGCAGCATGCTTAGGACAGCTAAAGGGGCAAATATTTGTGGCAGCAGTGAGCAGATTTTAAATGCACGAGAATCAATAAAAAAGGTGGCTGCTGAAGCACAGTCTTTGCATGAGAGTGGAACAGTTCACAACAGCAGTGATCTAAAGGTCTATATTCATTTGTAATACTGCACCTACCTGACCAAGAAGTATGAATATGGAGTCAAATCATTCATTCTCAGCTGACCTATTTTTTATTTTATTTTTTGCTGCAGAGGGGGTAAATAAATACTAAACAGCCATCAGCCAATTAACACAGAAGGCAGACATCAAATCCAGAAGCGTCAGTGGTTCAAATTAAGCACTGCGACAAGCATCTCCAGGCGCAGAAAAAAAAAAAAAACAGACCAGGAAGATGAGTGAAAAAGAGTAATCTCCCCGACATATTCCTAATAATCCACCTCCCTTGTGCCGCTCCCCTCGAGCTCACCCAATCATAAAGTGTCAACACTGACCTACAAAAAGGGACTCCTGTCAAGGCTTACATGCTTGAAAACATCAATCACGGCAGACAAAGAGGGTACATTGAATTATGCAGCATTAACCTTCGGGGCTTGCATATAAAGACCACAGATTTATTTATGCTTGTGTGTTAAGAGCCTCTGCACTGTTCCTTACAAAGTGCTGCCTGCCAAATTGATGAACCTGCACCTCAGCCCTCAGCTGGAGTCCAGCATCTTTGATTAATGAGTGCAAACTTGTGGAAAGGGCAAGAATAGGAGAGACAGGGTGAAAATGGGTGAAATGCAAATATTATAAGACCCTGGTTGTTGTTTTTCTCCACACTTGCTTTTAAAAGGCCATTGAAACAGAAACGGAAGATAAAACTATATATGCGTTTTTAAATCATATATAGTACACCTAGTAGTCTAGGAAAATAAATAAATTATACAAAAACTCACTCTGCGCCTTGCACTAATGTATATTGCTAATGGCAATTTAAGTGTGCTAAGCAGTTCTTTTAGACAACTTGTAATTAGGTGAATGATTGAGTTGAAAATCACGAGCTAAATTTGCCTTTGGAGCCCAGACAGCAAAGCCCTACAGTCTTCGTAGCACCCAAATGCCAAGTTGCTGACTCTATTGTTTTCTCTGTGTTAAAGGCTCATATTAGGAGCTTAACAACACTGCTCTGTGTGCAGAGCTCTTCAAGGGCATGTGAACTGAATAAATATGAGCCAAATGAGTGACCTTCTACCTGTGTTTTGATTCACTGGCAGTTACTGGATGCATGCATAACACATCAAGGCTGTGATCTGATTTATCTCGCTGCCTTGGCTACTGAAGCCATTTAAATGATGAACTTTAGCAGATCTAACGCTCGCTGCCATTTCACTGAGACTGTAAACACGAAGGTCACATCCTTGTTTATTAATATCAATTATATCTGTGAAGGCAAATCTACTCAAGTGTGCGGCAAACAAAAGATGTGCAGTGACAGGATAAGCTCTATGGATTGCATTGAGGGGTTTTTTTTGTTCTTTAAGAAGTGGGATAAATATTATCATGATAAAGTCTGAAGGGAAAGATCTGCAACAGTTGTTCATGTTTTCCTAAATTTCTGCTGTGATTGATGTGTAGTTTTTCCAGATAGGCTACATTTGCGTTTACTCACAAGAGGACAAGATTTTCCGAATTAAAATTAATTTAAGTGTGTTTAAAAGTGTGCTGCAGGAAACAAATGGGGACAATGTTATAATGTCCTGATTTCTGTGATGGAAGTTAGTCCAAGTTTTTGCTTGTGCCACCCGATTTATAACATTCTGCAAGGTTAAAAAATGAATCATAATAATAATTTAAATTAATTTAAAAATAAACAAAAACAAGCAAGAACAAACTCAATTTCTATGACTTCCCACATATATGAAACTGTTTATTAAATGTCATTAACAAAACTCTAACTCACCTCAACTCCAAAAAAGCACTGTTTTAATCTCACTCAAAACAGGTAGTTTTTTTTCTTTTTCTAAGACTCGTTTACTACCATTACTGTAATAAACACACAGCGTCTAAATAGAGGGTGCTATTTTAATAGCCCAACATGGCGAATGTCTTGTGGTTAATATGAAAGCTGGCACAAAAATGGAGGGCATTGTCATAATCTCAAAGGTTACATTTCAGCTCAGACCACAGCTGCAGCGTTAGCTGTGCTTTTCCTTTTAAGAGGAAGAAACAAAAAAGGAAGACAAGAGGTGGGGAGCGAGCAGCCCGTCTGCCACATTAATGCAGAATCATTTATTATTAGCTAAACATTACGGAAGCTCATTTGTGTTATATCCAGCTGTTGGACAATTTCATGACACGCCACGAGCTTAAACCCACGACAAATACCACACAAGCGGGCAGTCAGACGTTACTTTTAAACATGACACACTCCTACAAGAAGCCTAAAGTGAGCTATAAATTTAATAGCTAACTTTCCAGTAACGTTTGCGGACTCGCGGAGAGCAACACCGCCGCCAGGTACTGAACATCACTGTTAGCATTAACCGCTTACCGAAGTCTTCTTTTTATACACAAGTTCCAGTGTAAACATGACAGCAGTTATATCCTTAACAAAGTTTACCGCAGCAGCATTCATAACCGCTCTACATACTTTTAATACCAACTTTTTCATGTTTTTTTTTATAACTCACCGAGCGGACACAGCTTCACTGAAGACAAGTGTACGGTAAAAGGATGCTGCTGGTGAAGTTAGCTTAGCCATCCCAGACGAGCGAAAGAGTGAAATAATACATGACATGCGTGAACCTAACGAGCGAAGGTTGTCAACTCACCTGATTATCGTCTTGTATTCCTTAAAAAAAGGAGAAGCGGAAAGGAAAAGGTGTTCATTTACGTCCCGGTCAGTTTAAGGGCTGTTGAAAGAGATGAGAGGCGAAGTGGTCAGTGATTGAGTCCGGCTGGTCGGTAACGCGCTGCTGAACGTGTTGATCTCTGATCGCAGATTGAAGAGCCTCTCCTCCTGATTCACTCTCCAAGCAACTCGAGCGAAGTGACGTCAGCTCCAGGGTTCGAAGAGGCTACCATGCAAAGTTGTGTGGCATCGTAGTCTCTAAGATGGCAGCATTGCAAACATATACATCTAAACATTATGCAACACCAAGCTCAGTAAAGATCACATATCGTGGATCTTGAGCATCAGTATTAGCAAGGATACAAATTATAGTAATAAACAAATAAATACACATTCAAAGTAAGGTACCCAGTAAAACAGTTCATTTAAGGGGGTTGCAATTGTATCAATGCCAGTAGTTACATGTGCATCTTGTCAAACTTTCCAAAAGTCTTGACTCCTATAAAGAAAATATCAGCGTACTATTACTTTGATGGTTCCTGGAATAAAATGTATAGAAAAGTGATATTGTCATTCAATAAAGTGCTGCATTTGGTCAAGTATGTGGCCATCTGCTCACATCTCAGTGCATTTAGGCTTGTTTAGACATGACTAAAAACATCCTGCTAAAGTTCAAACTGAGCATCATCATGCGGTAGAAAGGTGATTTTAGTAACTTTGAACATGGCATACTGGTTGGTGCCAGATGGGCTGGTCTGAGTATTTCAGAAACTGCTGATCTACTGGGATTTTCCCACACATCCATCTCTAGGGTTTACAGAGACTATTCTCTGAGTGGCAGTACCTCTCTATCTGCCTCTGTTTCTAGCTTTTCTGATCACAGCGCACAACTGGCAACAGGAAACAAAGTGTTACACTTCCTAGAAAGAATGTAACTATAGGGAAATGTGCTGCTTATGTCTACTAGTACTGCAGATTAAGGTTATAAAAATAAGGATAAAACCATGTGATTTGAAATTTCAGCTTGTTTCACACACACACACACAAAATGGGTAGTTATCTTTTCGTTTGTTTGTTTATTAAAAAAAAAAAGAGATGAGTTCCAGTTATGAGTTCCAGTTAAACACAATAATTAAGGCACAAAGGCATGTTTGAATTAAAGACGTAGAGAAACAAACCCCCTCATCAGCATTTGTAATCTATAACATGTTTCTTTACCTGTTCCACGTCCCTTGCGGCCATTGATTTTCCTCCTTTTAATTCTGCCATTATGCAGCCGTCACAGAAAGCACCAAATGGACAAACACGCTGAAAAGATTTCATACATTTGTCCTCCGAGCCACAGCATAGCTGGGCTTTTTACTTTTACAGCGACGATAAAGGAACGTCTTTTTCTGGCCACAGCTTTTCATATCATAAAATTAAAATGTCATCCTAATTGTTAAAATAAAAATCCCAGTCAGTGCCTGCGGTGCAAAGCAGCAAGCGGGGGGAAGGGCAAGTAGTCAGTCCCCTTTACAGAGTCTTGATTAGAAAGTATAATTAGATATCAAAGACGCAGCAAAGATGATGTCTCGAAAGATTGATAGAAAACAAGATGTGCGTTTGTTTTGTTCTTATTATTATCACTTCACAGAAAACACAGAATGCCCTCAAGACACAAGAATTGGACTCACTGCCACTGTTGTTTTTCTGTCATATTTAAATCATTGAAATTATGTCAGTGCACAATGTTGTGATCCTTTTCACACCTAAGCCTTCCAGCACATACATTTGATTTAGCATATTGCACAGTGTGGGCTAAAGTGGGCTAAACCTGTACATTAATCTCTTAAGTTTGCAGCTATGTGTGTAAACTAAAACTGCATTGTGATCTTTTTCATTCATTTTTTAGCATTTAGTTTGGCTTTCACAACAAATCAAATCATAAGGTATGTGGTACTGCATGAAATTTATATAAGAGTAAAGACATGCAAAATGTAATATAATTCACATCAGTCCCGTGGGGTGCAAATAAGTGAAGTGACTGGTCAGAAAGCAGTCATTTGCATAGTAGTCTTTGTTTTCTTCTGTTAATTGGAGCATGTTCCAGGATAGTAAATGGAGGAGAAACATGAGATGACCAGAATGAAGGACAAGAGAAACAGATGCTCTGTGTACAGGCATCTTTCCCAGGAAGGACAGGCACATGAATAGAAAACGAGCACAGACAGAAATAACTGATATCCAACACAATCGTGAGAAAGAGACAAAAGGTTCAACCAAAACCCGTAAGGCAGGAAACGGCCTTAATGCATAAAGAGTCAGTGCTCCGCTGTGTGTATTTGTATTACTAAGCCTATGAGCAAGTCATGCATTTCATTTCTGTGCCATATTTTATTGATACATAAGTTCACTCAGTGCATGATGCAGATATTTCTTGGCTTCAAGTGTTTTTCTGTCACATTACTGTATGGCGTATTTCATTCACACGTACAAGTGTTCATTTTAATTAATCATTCTGGGTTGACCTCTTCCTGCTCTGAGCAGTGGTGTGGCAGAAGTGTGAATTCAATTTGTTTCCTGTTGTAAGAGAGAAAATCAGACAGTGCCGCTTTTGTGATGAGAAAACAGAGCAGTATATGACAGCAAAATATCTACAGTGTATCTAGAAAGATGGATTCTGAGGATATAGCAGTATGACTAAGCTAAGTTTGGAACTGGAACTTCAAAAATTAGATTAGTGATCAGTGATCCTACTGTAATAATTGTTTAAAAAATTTAAGACACTGATTCAGATCACATTTCCAGCTGAATACTTGCATTATAGTTATATATCTAATAAATTATCTTATATTGCATGCTTTTAACTCACTACTCGATTGTAGGATAACTAATACATATGAATATGGACATAGAGATATACAGGGCTGTAACTTTGAAAGACCTGAGCTATAAATTTATGATGCTGTTTAACACTGCATTAACATCTGAAACCAAACCATGACTATGCAGTTAATGCTGTCACATTGTTATCTAGTGCACTCATGTTATAGATTCGACACACCCTTCAATGTGGACTTGCATATGTTGGTAAAGCCATTAAAAAATAAAATCACAGATTAAGTTCATTCTACTGACAAAATGTGAATTATCCAATAGCTAAATACTTCACTGGACTGAAACAGTACATGGCCTCCCCTTGCTTTTGTAATAATGAACTAGTTCAATATTCGATACCAGCTAGGATGTCGCCCAGATTAACAAGGTTTGTGTCAGGTGTTGAGGAACCAGGACACACTGATGACAAGAGGGCTACTGGAACAAGGAGGCATAAGTGGGCAACAGACAAGAACAGGGCGTTGATGGAATGCTACTAGACAAGTAACCCCAGCAGAAGGGCTTGCATGAAGAGGACTTGGGACCTACGGAATCTTCGATACCCAGCATCCAAACGGATGTCAAAATAACTAGTAGCTCAGTGTTCCAACATTCGGAAGAAGGAACTACTTGATGAGGTACAACACAAATGCTACGGCAAGGGTGTGTGTGTGTGTGTGTGTGATACCATCACCCAGACCATGCAACCTCCCTGAACAGGATCCAGTAACTATTACAAGGTCTCCAGTATGAAGAATGGGACCCTGCATCTGGCTGCACAGATGAACCAGCTGCTAATGGAGGCTGAACTGAAGGCTGGAACAGTTTGATCCAACTACCAACCAATAACCTGCCTCAGTACCACGTGGAAGCGAATAAGATACATGAGTGGGGCACAGAAAGAAATTGGCAGGTAGATAGAGCACCAGAAGGCAACATTGCAAACATTGAGGACAGCTAGAAGTACCTGTGAATCCTACAGGCAAATGGGAACCATGAACAGGCCGCTAGGAAAGCTGCAAGCTTCAGAGGGTAAGTCCTGAGGACTCAGCTGAATGGAAAGAACAAGATCCAGTGATCAGCTGGGACCCAGCTGGGATAATAAAGAGGAGGAGACATGTCAATGGCTTGTATATCCTCCAAAAGGTGTCAACACTACCAACAAATGCAGAAGAGCATCTCTGAACACACAACATGTTGATGTAGCCACTGCTGTAATATAAGGAAACTTTGGATACAGTTTGTAGAAGCTGACCAACACTGGGCAACAGAAGATTGGAAAAATGTTGCCTGTTCTGAGAATTCTTGATTTTTGCTGCAATATTTGGGCATTAAGTTGACAATTTAACATAAAAAAAAACCCTGAAGTCATTGATCCATCCTATTCTATAACAGACTTTAGGCTGATAGTGGTGTAATGGTGTGGGGAATATTTTCTCGGCACAAATTGAGACCTTTAGTACCAACTGAACATGGTTTAAAGCTTTCCCAAGTAGTTTTGCTGACCATTCAGTCCATTTATAACTACAGTGTATATCTGCTTCCAGCAGGATAATGAAAAATGATTTCTTCAGCATGACAATAAGGTCCTTGTACTCAAATGGCCTCCACAGTCACCAGATCTCAATCCAGTAGAGCACCTTTGGTATGTGGTTGAATAGATGATTCTAATTTGGACGTGCAGTCTATAAATCTGCAGCAACTGTGTGATACTATAATGTCAAAATGAGTCAAAATGTCTGAGGAATGTTTCCATCACCTCTCTGAATCTGCCACAAAGAGTTAGGACAGTTCATAAAGCAAAAGTAGGTCCTGCCTGATACTAGCAACGTGTACGTAATAAAGTGTCCAGTGAGTTTTTTTTTTAATTAAAATGTATTCAGATTTAACATTTATTAAATTAATAATCCTTTAATTTCTCAGTGTTTTGTTACTACAACAGTTTAAAATCAAGAACCACACATAACCTGTGCTGAACAATACTTTATTCTAATAGAAATCTTAAGAGACATGCTAGAAATCATTCTTATTAATTACTAACACAAGCTGTTTAAAACTAATTGTTTTATATGTTTCTAGACCTTTTTTTTAATTTTATTTGTGGAAGAAATGTTCTATTTCCAGTGACCATAATAAACAGACTCAAGATACATTTGTTCCACTGTCCCACCTTGTGGCCAAATCTAGAAATTACCTTGACTGCCAGGAAGAAAAGAAAAGGTGTTTACAAAGATTCTCTATCAATGTGCTGCATCAGTAAATGCTGCTTCACAACTGCTTTTAATCATTCCTTGTAAAATGTTAAAAAAAAACATATCAAGAAAGTGTACTTGCCCAGCAAAGAGGCATCCGTTGACAATTTCTGAAGAAACTTTGATGGATTGCAGGCTTCTTGGAAATCTGAAATTAGACGTGCATGAAAGTGAAGGATATCCTGCTGACTTCTTTCAATTCTGTTTCATCTCAGCTTCACACTAAAATGTCAACAGAACCGATGGACTCTTACAGGGACAGACACCCTTCAGCTGACAGTGATTAAGAATGATTTTCACAGACTCTGATTTTGGTAGTCCAGGTCATTCTTCCAGTCTAATTTATGCAGGGACATGTAGATATTATATATCTAGCATAAATGGGAAATATAAGACTGACTAGAAAGTATTCCTATTTTCTGAAATGGCATTACTAAAAAAGCAATAGGGTTACTTGTGGCATACTATTAAAAATCATACCAAATGAATCTTATATATTATGCATTAGTGCTTTAAAAAGAATGTGCTGTGTATTTGAGTGGACTTTTCCATATTCCCCCGATTACCCATTATTACAAAGACAAAATATGATTTTAATAAATTTGTGCAAATTTATTGGAGAAAACAAAATCAGCATCATACAAAGGTTCCTGCCATTCTTCTGCAATATACTCATTCCATATTCACATCATGCTTTAATCCCCTATAATCATTCACACTCGTTTTTTTTTCTAAAAATTCTAATAGTAAGATTGGCTTTTCCACAGGGCAGCAAGTAAACATTTAATCCCACAGTCTTTTAACCCTTTAAACTATAAAGTGTGATACCCATTGAAATCCTGGAATGAATTAACAGTTTAAATATTTACTGGCTGTATAGTCGGGACAGAAAGGATTCCATGTGCTTTCCATAAACGAGAAACAGCAGAGGAAAACAAATATAAAAGCATTCTGCCAGGACATCTCATAAAGTTACCTTAAAGTCTTATAAAGTTACAGTCATTTAGGACAAGCTTTTATTTTTGTGGATTTTTGTTCACCTAAATTGCAACATCATTGTGCATGAAATAACAAGGTGGCTGCTCATGCTTTCTTGTTTGGATGAAGCAATTAAAAGAGTCCTCTAACTATTGGAAGAAATACTGGACTATTTTGTTTTTTTTGTTTTTTTTAAAAGCAAGTTTCAAGCTTTTTATTTGTTATATTCCAGTATGGCTCATACGGAGCTCTGTTAACACTTAAATGTATAAAACGTAACCTTGACCAGGTTACAAGGTTGTCTTAGCTTTGGCTTGAAGTAGGAGTTTGAATAATCTGAACAACAAGGAAAAAACAAAAACATTATTGATTGCATTTTTAAAAAAAAAAAAACACATGAAATACATAAATCTCTTGTGTATAAAGTGGCAAAAATCCCCCCCAAAACTTGTTAATATCCCTTCTTGTTCACCCTCAAGTTTGCGGGAGTCCAAACCAAGCTGAATTAACTCTGTAACAAAAATTCCTGCATGCACACAAAACACGTGAAAGTCACACTCCTCATATAATCTTGCACACCACTTAAGGAAACCATTAGTGCATTTGCAAAATAGGAACCGCTATTGACCATTCTGTAGTGTCTGACGTGTAACCTGACATTAACGCCCAGTGGTAGCTGAGGAAAATACACCAATCAGAGATATTTACAAATGATCTGTTGTTAGTGCAGGTGACTAAAAAGCACGTAGATGTAAAAGAGAAATGCTTAGCATCACATGTCTCCCAAACAAACATTATTCTGAGTCATGCCACTGACATGCGTTAATCCCAAACTGCTTGAGTAACAATTTTAAGAGTGGACTTCTCATTGAATGGGAAGGAAAAAGAAAAAGAAAAAACAGCCACCCATGGGGAAGGGTTTGGTGTTTCTTATTTAGGAAGAGAGCGAACGTTCTCCTATGGTGTGCTATCAGTCTCCTCAGCCTCCACCAGGCACGACTGGTCTGTGTCAGGGACTCGGAACGGAGGGTGGTACTCGAATGCCGTGACGATGCCGGAGCCAAAGTTGTGCTTCTGGTGCAGAAACCAAACAACAGCTGAGACTCCCACGATAGCCACCACGCTGAGAATGACGAGGGCAGAGAGCACTGCGCTAGGTTCTGAGGGAGACGATTAACAAAATAAGGGAGGTCACAATTAGTACCAAAAACCACAGGAAAACCACAGAAACCGTGGGCAAATAAAGCTCAAAGGTTGACTTACTCCGCTTGGCTTTCTCTTTATCTGAAAAGCAAATAAAGACAGAAAACACAATGTGAGGCACCAATCGCAGCCCTGTTTTCTGAAGTGACAGATTCAAATTCCAGTGCAACATAAAAAAAAGAAAGAAAAGAAATCTCACCCTGGGCGGCTTCACAGATTACCCCATTCTCCAGGTCACCACTGCAACTGACAATTTCCCACTTTCCTGTGTTTGTGTGCAGAGCTGCACATTTATCCATGGCCGCGAGATCTGACGTCAAAGAGCCATCCTCCCAGTTAGAGAAAGTCACCGCGTTGTCGTGAAGCCACGTCATGTTTTGAGCTGACCAGACACATGAATCGTTATTTCACATATTTAGAGGTTTTAGGGCAACTATAGTTAAAGAGTATATTTTCATTAAGCTTCAGCATTCCTCTAGCATTCACAGACAGACACAGAAGTGATGTCCATCTTTTTGCCCTCACTACTGATGTGCGTTTAGGTTAGGTACATCCCCCACAGGATTTCCTGAAACTTTGCTAGGATGTAAAGAAAAGAATGAGTCAATGCTGTACTGTAATGCAAGCTTTTAAAAGTAGCTGGCACAAGCAGAAAATTTAGGTCACTTTAACAATGTTTTATAGTCCATGTCAAACTTGTCAAATGTGAAAAAAGCCGTCAGTTTTAGCTCACACAATATATTCTACAACTGCTTAGAAAAAAAAGAGAGGTAAAGTTGTTGTTATATTTATTCTGATTCAGTAAAATGACTAGATGTTACAATCCCTGATATTTATGTATAATCCTTACTGAAAAGGAAAATTACAGCTACTAAAATATAATGGACTTTGATACAGCACTCTTTAAAAACCTCAAACACACAATATTCCGCAAGATTTGTTGTCAGTTTTCCACCTAGTGACCTCCAAACAATGCTGTTAATTAGTTATGAAACTAGCCAAAAGGTTTTCATGAAACTTACTGTTTGAGTCGTAATACATTCCAAGCCACACGATGACCGGCAGGCTGTTTTTCCACACTTTGGGGCTATAGTCGATGACAAATTTATTCTCCTCCTCACTCTGGATCGTCAAAAGTTCTAGGAAAACAATCACAGTAAATATGAACGCGTAATCACACGCGTTGATAATGCAGTCGATTTGACTTATTGTTTTTAAACACAGGAAACGTTTGAACGTAACATGGCTCGGTCATCTACCAAAGCCTTTGCATTGAGTTTTTGCATCTTCAAAGCTGTAGCTTTTGATTTTGTCTTCGTCTCCATGGACAAAGTGGTAACATCTGTCCTTAAAGGGCACCCAGGTTCGTCCATCTGCGGGGCAGCCTGAAAGAAACAATGGAGAGCCACCCTGAGACCTACAGTTCAGGACAATTTAAACCAACACTGTCAATGAAGTGTGTCGGAGAAGTGCCCCAAGTTTGTAGGGTTACAACTACCCGAGGTTCTGGATCTTCTTTAGCATTCTTTGCCAGGACTAATGCAGCCCACTGTGTGGCGTACACAGCCAGACTTAGATTAGTTGACCGACTAATCTCAGTCTTCGTGATATTCCACTTTGTGTCACTGTCATGAATCATCACATGACCTATACTCCAGCAAACCTCTGTTTTCAATCTGTTGCTCCTGTCTGCAGTGAAATCAATGAATGCCAGGGTGATGCGCTATTGCTAGCTAGACATGTTCCACCATGTTTGATGCTGCTTTACAACTTTCATCTGTTCACCATTTTGATGCCACTTGTTTGGTCTTACCCACTACAACTTTTTTTTTTAAGGTTTTGGGAGCAACAACCTCACATTTTTGCTTTTGTTACATCTCAAACCATTTGCATCTTGTGCAAAGCCTCTGAGGATTGTGGTTATGAAGATAACTGAAAAGGAAACATGTACTTCTATCTCCTTGCTGTTCAGTCACAAAAAGCCTTGTGCCTTTCCACAGCTCCCTAATCAGGGGTGGGCAATTAATTTACCCAACGGGTCATGTGAGAAACTGGGCCCCCTGGGTAAATTAATTACCCACCTCTGCTATAAACACACTAATGCTTTACTTGAGTCTGATTATTATCCTGCAGTGAGAGACAACTTCACCTCAATATAAATGACAATCTATTCTAAGCAACACGGGCTCCTCTTTGTCCATGTGGCTTAGAATAGATTGCTATAGATGTCAAACAATCATTTAGGTGCCAGGTGTCCAATTACTTTTGGGTATTCCGTTTAAAGAACAATGCAAGCAAGCACAATTGTTTTGGCATCGTGATAAGCTAATTAAACTAAAACTGAGGCCTGTAAAGCTATGTCCATTATTAAATTTCAAACCGATGCCCTTAAAGCACATTAATAAGAACAAAAATGGGAAATCAGCAGTCAAATTCATAAAACTTGAGACGCTTTGCGTCATAACCCAGTTGGTTGTTTCCAACTTGTGACCACAGTTCCTCTTTTATTAGCGTCTCTATTCTGTGTCTGGCAAATGGTGGCATGATTTTATTTATCAATTTATTTTTGGAAATAAGGTTATGTGCTAATATGGAGTTCTAGTACAGCATAGGCGCAAAAACTTGTGTTTTCACTTCAAATCTGCGGTGATTAGCCACCCTGAGGCGAAATACAAAGAATGCTAATGCAGTAAGCACTCAGACGAGGTTAAAAAAGAGGTGAAGCCCTGATTCTTTCTTTTAAAGAGCCTTTCGAAACAAACGACAGACGTGCACTTTTACTCGGATACGTGCATGTACGCAGTGTGCTAACGTTGGTTCGCAAGTTACGTGATACAAGCAAAATACAGTGTCGACATTCAGGAAAGTTGGTTAGGTAACATTAATAAATGTATTTACATTTCTCCCCGCAGTCTAAAAACACGAACCCCTCCAAACCCAAAGTAAACACACACCAGAGAGCGCAAATAACACAGGCCTACGCACTGTTCAACCCAGCGGTGTAACGACGGACAAACCATAGCATACCTTTAAAACATATCGCTTCCTTTTAGCTTTGAGCTGAGGTTCAGTTTTAAGACCTTACCTCCCGTCAAAGGCAGCTGAACACACAGCACGAAGACACACCACAACAACAAGCGGTGACTTTTCTTCAGCGACTCCATGTCTGAAATCTTGTAGCACCAAACTTGTTTTCTGACTGTTGCTCGGTCCAGTCAGCCGCAGCGTGAGCGAAATCCCACCCACCCACCCACCCACAGCAAAAGCACAACGCACGAGTCACAGCACGGCCTGAACACGAGTAAACACCGCGGTTATCAGTGGGAGATGGTGAAAGCAGCATTTTTTGGGGGTTGTTATTGCTTATTTCAATGGCTTGAACAACACGGAGAACGATATAAATATAATCTCCTGCCCATTGTAATTACAAAATACGGCACGTCGGCAATTAATGCAAACGGATGCAAATTAATGGAAAAGTTTCATCTTCCGTATTTCTGTGAATATAATTCGTTTGTGTTGTCACAAACAAACAAGTGTAGTCCACTCGGAAGAGCTTTTGCAACACGATTTGCACATACTAGCCTTTAGATGGCGCTGCAGGTCCAGTTTCCACAACAGTTTGGGCAATGCACTGCTATTGCTACTCACAAACATACGATAAAAGGGTCTCTCTGAGTTAACATTGCTGTAATTGTAGACTTCCCTTACTCTTTTTGCTGATGTGGTGAAGTATTTCAGATGAATTGTTAATTGTTAATTACTGTATTCAAATTGTCCTTTGAAAAAGGATAATTACTAATTATTAGTAACAGTAACCCACCAGGTGACAAAATGTGTCAAAATTTTAATGTCAAAAGGTTGTTGGTTCCTATTTTACATACTTTTATTTTAATTATCAGCTCACATATAGGCAAAGGTGCATTTATTCAGACATTCTTATCGATTTGTTGTCCCCTCCCTGCATCTGAAAAATTGCTTACTGCTTATAAACGGTTTGTATCATGCTTATATTATTCCTCTGTATTTAACCACTTAGTAACCAGATTAAATGAAATCTAATTTTTTTTAAATTAATTTTTTTTAAATTAAATTGTTAATTGTTTATTTAATTGCATGTTTCAAAACTGAGAAGAATCCATCACCATTATTTTGTCAAAAGCAAAACAAAACATGTTTTTGAAGACGGAGCCTTTGCAATTGTTTTGTTATGTAAACATGAACAATTCACTGTCTATCTGTCCTCTTAAAGAGGTTTAAATTAATTTCCTAGTAAATTTATCATCCTAGTCACTCCAGATATACACATATAAAATTGTATTGTATTTAATTTTTTAAATAAGTGGTTTCGTTTCATAAGTATTTGTACTGTTAACTTCAGAACTTTCTGTGTGATACCTATTACACTTGTTTATCACAGGGTTCAGAAGATTTCAAAGTTGGCTTGAACATGCTACATGAGTTTACTGATCCATGGCTTTTTCAAAATCTAATTGCAATTTTAACACCCTGAGCTGGTATAAGAAAACAATGCACTGCATCAAAATGGGTATGAATATAGGATGCCTCCAATGTAAGCAAAGGAGGGAGTGGATATGAGGGCCTCATTTAGGCAAAGAGTGGTTGTTGTCGGGGGGAAAACAAGGTTTCAACTCCATTGCTTGTAGGCGCATGTGGCAAAAACACAGACAGCTGGAGCGTGAGTTTTGCTCCTCGTCTGGAGCCGGTGGCTTCCCGTAGGGTGGCTCAGCACTCTGCAGGAGACTGCGGAGACCCATCTGCCATGGCAAGGCCTGCTCACAGACAGTCACATCCAAGCTTCTAGAGCGCCCCAGTGCACCCACTCACCCCGTCCAGGCCATGCATGTTGTCAGAAATACCATGTGACAGAGTTAATATCTTTCCTACCAGGTCCTAACCTTCTGGGCTCAAAGCATAGCAATTCATAAATATTGGTAGACCATCTCAACAAGAAGCCTATTGTTTTCCTCTTATATTAGTGTCAGAAAGTCAGAGCTTCAGTTTAGCCTGGATATTTAATATAATAAAAAAACTGAACTGTCTTACAGTTACCTTAAGATAAAAATACAGGATATATTTCATATTACACCACATCTTGGAGGCCTAAATGATCACTTCTGATACATAACTTTTTTTATATATATAGTCCAAGACATAATATTTTGAGCCAGCTGCATGAGATAATAATGTCTCATTAATTCAGTGAGTGGATATCTGAAAGACTGATTAATGTGGAAGGAAGGAGATGTGCATGGTCACATTAGTTGAGTGTGTTTTCTGGGAGAAAACTGACAGCAAAGTGACCTTTATCAGCTGCTGTGTTGACGGGGGAACTAAACAGATGTTCGTTTCCTTGCATTTTGTGCGTGCGTGTTTTTTTAAATTTTATTTTATATGGCTGCTGAACAATGTCAATCCACCAATAATTTATAAATGACTATAAAGATAATTTTAGGATATTTATGCATATGCTTCTTTTGGCATGTATATTTTTTTGTTTGCCAATTTGAGCTAGATTTTCTTTTTTTTTTCCAAGCTGTCTGAGAAAAGGTAACTCGTTAACGCATATATATTTTCCAAATTCTAATAAGGCCAGTTTCTTTATAAAACCTCAATTGGAAGTGAGAGACTAAGTGAGAGACGTTTTGGATTTCAGCCCTCTGAAGCTGCAGCCAAGCTCCAATAACAACCATCATATTAAAATTTATTGTTTGACCGTTTTAAAAAAAAATATTGTGCTGGCAAACCGCACAAATTACGTATTTTACATAATTAACTAATGCAAGGTTACCAACCAGTAAACTCAATTAAGATTTGTATTCAAGATTCACCATAAAAAAAAAGAAAGAAAAAAAAAAGATCAGGTCTCCTTGGAAATAATGAGGCAGAGTAAAAGTAGATTTCTTTTTTAATCCAAAAAAGTCAAAGAAATTAACAGAATAAAACTTGGGCAACAATCTACTAGGGTGGAAAAACAAAAGGAAGTTTGGGGCTTAACAAACACGATAAAACAGCACAATAAAACAGAAATAAAGAGGAGAGATCCCTTAAACTGTACAAACAAGTTAAGTCTGGCAATTGTGGCACAAGTTAAAAAAACAAAACATGTAACTCATATAGCTCTAGAAAATCTCTTATTACCTAAAGCCGTCTGTACAAAAATCTTCATAAATTAGAACTTTTTCATATAACTTAATGTCTGTTCACTACGGTGGTTGCTTATACGAGCAATTTTTTATTGATGCACCTCTTCGACTCTTGACCCAGATACTATGGCACTTGGTTCAGACACCGCTAGCAGCATTAACCTCACAGGACAGTATTACTCGTCAGTCTCAGGCATTACACAAAAATCTCAAGTAGAATTGGCCCTTTGTATCTGTTGCACAACCTAGCGAACTACAGAGGAAATGCTGCTCTTTGTAGATTCAACACAAAGTTTGTATAAATGAGCACAGATTGAGTGAACACCACAAAAGCTATGCTGTCAGTGATAATCGGAAAAGCCTTTACATTTGCCTGTGGAATCTACTGCCATAAAGGCTATGAAACTGAGTGAGTGAACGCAAGTAGAGCTGTCCCCAATAGTGACTATGTTACTCATCATAATAAGATTAAAAAAAAGAAACAGGTTTGAGGAAAATCAAAGAGTATTAAGAAAAAAAAAAAAAACAACCTAAAGGAAAACAGCTGTTTCCTTTCAGGGTGACAGGCTCCTGAGTGTGGGATTTGGTCTGGAAGGACGGGCTGGACCTGCTAACCCGGCCTAATACAGAGGAGAAAGAAAACTGAGGTAGATAACTGCTCTGACTGACAACCAGGTCGAATCACAGGCTTACTAGAGGACACCTTAGTTAAAATGGTTCAATCAACTATTTAACAAATTGCCACTTATTTTTAAAGCACTATTTCATATCAGATTGCTTCCGTAGCACCCCATCAGTTTTTTCCTTTTAAATGAATCTTTACTATAGTGTTGTACCATCCCATTTCTCCTGTTACCATGAAAGTCATCTGTGGCACTTGCTGGAGCCTTCCTTCATACTTGTGTGTCTGTACTGAACTAAGTGTAAATGTACAAAAAAAAAAAAAAAAAGGCACACTGTCCAAATTACACTCTTTTTTTGCATGGTCACCTTTGTTAAAGAGACAAATGATGGCATTTCCTCACAAGCTTTGGTGATGTAAACTACAACTGAAAGTGCCAAGTCTGATTGTTTCCTATCAAAGAGTGAGGCGCAATAAAATACACATATTCATCAAATTTTTACCCTTCGACTCTTGCAACATTTGGCCAAGTTCTATTTTAAGGCTTTGATTAATTAATTTTCCACAATCATACGTCCATGTTTCCTGTTTTTGCAAAGTGAAAAATACCTACCTCATCAAAACGACAATTTCCAATACCACCTTTAAAAAGTGAAAGCACAGCCAACAAAACAAAATTACACCCACCCCACCAAGCTTAATTTTAGTTATTCTAAAAAAACACATTTCAACATCCACACGAATGCACAGCCTTCTTTCTAAATAAATATTCCATCCAATAAAATCATCTTTGGAAAATTTCTTTTGCTGCTCTAGTAGGTTTTGGAGGAAGGGAGCAAAAACACATGTTCCATTAAAAAAAACAGAAAAGAAAAAAATAGACCGCCTGCAGGTGAGAGCTCTTATCAAATTTTTTTTGGCTTATTGCTGCTTTGTGGTGGTCTGTTCAAGAAATGTATCAAAACTATTAAGGCAGATTTTCAGACAGCAAGACTGAGTTCTAAGAAGAAAAAAAAAAATCACTTTACAAGAAAAAACAACACTAAACACATCACCATATCAACACTCACACAGCAAGCACAAAAAAGTCATTTTCAAATATTTGGCAAAAAAAAAAAAAAAATTCTTCGGGAAAAAAGTGAACAGAAAACATCTTTGCACAACTGGACACGTGATTCTTTCTTGTGTCCTGTGCGACCCCTAGTAAAAAATAAACGTTCTAGTATGAAAATAAAACTTCTTTAAATAAACTTTGAATCCTTTGATGAACTTAGGTGTATGCTCTGAAAACGATACCCGAAATAGTATCACTTTAAACATTTGAGCAAAACAGTGAAAGATCCTTAGCGTCCGCTGCGTTTGTAGACATTGTTGTGTGGGCTGTTGTCCAAAGGTTACCTCAGCACTACTTGGTTTGTTGATAGGAATAGGGGGAATGATTGCCGGATGACTCCACATGTGACTGTCCACTGTTTTCCTGAAAGAAAGAGTAATAACTCAGTTTTTTTGGGGGGGGCAAAATATTTTGCTAAAAGTGAGGCTGCAATTTTGTTGCTGCACATACTTCCACAGGAACAGTGGCTGTCGGCAGATGTGGATACTGTTGGATATATGCTCCTTGCATAGCTGTATTGGGAGCCATAAACTGCAAGAAAATGGAAAATGAGACTATTCACAAACCAAAATAAGCATATCTTAATAGTTTTTTTTTCTCCAAGACAAAAGTATAATGAGCCAATCTCTCAGTTAATCTCATGCAGGTTTCTCTCACCGTTCCTGCACTACCCAAGGAGAGGTGACCCATCTGCTGAGTGAGAGGCGCCATCATGGAAGCAGGCTGCAGTGACAGAGATGGGTCGATAGAGGGCGATATCACTGTACCCTGCAGAAGTAGCAGAAGGTGAAATTTACAAGTTGAGCAAGTTGGCTATAAACATCTTGACTGGCCTGATGCATCCGACACTGTTTGTATTTTGTTGCCAACTCATTTCAAACTAAGACTATCATATTTTAAATCTGTTAGAAATCATTTAGCATATGTCATTAAATACACAGCTTCATACAGTCCATTCACTGGTTAGTATTATCTACTATTACTATTTTTATTATATTTTTTAAGTTGCTGACGACAATTTAAATCAAATGAATTAAATGAATTTTCTGCTCTTCTCACTCATTTTTCTGTACTTTCTCCAAATCTGATCATTGCTGGTGACTTCAATATTCATATGGACAATAATAAAATCCCTCTTTCCAGAGAATTTACCTCCTGCCTGGAA